CAAAGAATTTATGGTCACCTTTAATCTAATCCACCACAATAGCTATTTCCAAATTGCCCTCCAAAATGTTGGTCAATTTATTTTCCCACCAACAGTGTACAAGATTGCCTTTCTTCACACTCTCACCAACACTATACACATTGTAAAACATTTTAATTTGCACTAATCCGGCAGTTGACAATGGTACTGTATTTCATTATCATTTTGTTATGCATTTCTCTAATTATGAGTGAAGGTGAGCATCTTTTCATGTATTTACTGTTCATTTAAAAAAATTTTTAAGCCAGATTGATGGTCTGCACCTGTAATCCCAGCTACTCAGGAGGCTGAGGCAGGAGGATCACTTGAGCCCAGGAGTTGGAGACCAGCCTGGGTGATATAGCAAGACTCTGTAAAAAAAAAAAAAAAATTTTTTTTCCTTGTGAATTGTCTGTTTATATACTTTGCCCATTTTAACTTTTGGTTGCCCCTTTCTTTCACATTGATTTGTAAAATGTATATATTAAGGAGATTAGCCCTTTATCTGATATTATAAAATATGTCGCAAATAGTTTTCCACAGTGTATGTAGCCTTTTTTTTTTTTTTTTTTTTTGAGACAGAGTCTCGCTTTGTGGCCAGGCTAGAATGAGTGCCGTGGCATCAGCCTAGCTCACAGCAACCTCAAACTCCTGGGCTCAAGCAATCCTTCTGCTTCAGCCTCCCGAGTAGCTGGGACTACAGGCATGCGCCACCATGCCCGGCTAATTTTTTCTCTATATATTAGTTGGCCAATTAATTACCTTCTATTTATAGTAGAGACGGGTCTCACTCTTGCTCGGGCTGGTTTTGAACTCCTGACCTCGAGCAATCCGCCCGCCTCGGCCTCCCAGAGTGCTAGGATTACAGGTGTGAGCCACTGCACCCGGCTGCATGTAGCCTTTTGACTTGGCTTTTTGATAATTTTCTCAATTCAGGCTTTTAATTTTTACATGTTCAAATTATCAGTCTTTTGCTTTAAGACTTCTGGATTTTAGGCCGGGCATGGTGGCTCATGCCTGTAATCCTAGCACTCTGGGAGGCTGAGGTGGGTGGATCGCTCGAGGTCAGGAGTTCAAAACCAGCCTGAGCACGAGCAAGACCCTGTCTCTACTATAAATAGAGAGAAATTAATTGGCCAACTAATATATAGAGAAAAAATTAGCCGGGCATGGTGGCACATGCCCGTAGTCCCAGCTACTCGGGAGGCTGAGGCAGAAGGATTGCTTGAGCTCAGGACTTTGAGGTCGCTGTGAGCTAGGCTGACACCACGGCACTCACTCTAGCACGGGCAACAAAGTGACACTCTGTCTCAAAAAAAAAAAGACTTCTGGATTTTGTATGGTGTGTTCCTTTCCTTTTTCAGAATTTTCCTGCTGGTCTCAAATGTTTATTTTTCCAGATGAAGATTAATATCATTTTCCAAGCCTCCCTCCTCATATCCTATTGGTGTTTTGATTGAAGTTGCTTTCCGTTTATAGATCCATTAGAGAAAATGCACAGCCTTGCAACTGGAGGACAAGGCTGGGGCTTGCATTGTTTGAGTCTTCTCTCCCATAGTGTGTCCAGGCTTAGTGAGGGGGTGGTGGTGACATCTCAGGGAGGCCCCAGCATCATAGACACCTGGGGGGGAGGAGCCCAAGACTGCTCCAAAGGCAGCCCTGGGGTTAGACAGGCCCTGCAACGCCCTGTCCCTGGGAATCCCAGGCCTGGCCAGGAAGGCCTAGAACAGCCTCAGAGCTTGGAACTCCTGGGTCCTCTGCGGCAAGGTGAGTCCAGGACTCCTTGAAGAAAGCATTCCTGGGACTCCCAGGAGAGCCAGACGTGCCCACCAAGAGCTGATTCATGAGGTAGGAGATTTCACAGAGCAGTGCCTTGTTGGAAAGACCAATGACCAAGCACAGTGACACATTTGCCAAGGAAAATCCTACTGGTCTGAAAGGCACAGCCTTGGGGAGAGGCAGAGACCTGCTGCGGGAACCACGGGACGGGAGGCTGCCGTGGGCACAGCCCTGCAGGCTCAGCTTCCTTCCCAGCTGGGGCTCTGCTTGCTGGCTTCTCTCCAAGCCTGGAGCCCAGTCGGCAGCATCTACCCACTCCTTCCTCAGGCAGGGTTCCTTAAAGTACCCAGGGAGACTGACTGGGCATTCATTTATTCAGCAATTATTTACTGGGTGTCTACTATGTGGCTGCCAGTCAGTGTTCTAAGAACTTGGGGTGCAATAGAGAATAAAAGTCCAAAATTCCTGCCCTCCTGGAGCTTATAGACAATAAAAATAACCACAATAGATATGCAAATGTTAGGAGATAAGTGCTATGGGGAAAAATTGGGGCAAGGTAAGAGGACTTGGGAGTTGGGTGTGGGGGTGTCAAATTCCCTAAGAAAGCACCTGTGCTGGGGCCCTTCCCTTTGCCCTCCAGATCCCCAGGGAAGGCTGGCCTAAAGGACTGTGTCCTGGCTCTCCCTGGGCTCTGCCAGTGGGGAGCCTTGCAGGAGAGCTGAGACAGGCAAGGGAGGTGTTTGTCCCCTTGGCTCCCTCCCTGCAGGTCACAGCCCCTGTCAGGTGGCTTTCTCCCACAATTCTCTCCTTTCTAGTCCCACCAGCCATGGCTTTCCCTGCTCCTCCCTCTTTCCCTGCCCCTCCTGCCCAACCTGGGAGTAGCAACCTGCTACTAGGCAGGGGCACTGCACTTTCCCTGGGTTTCCTTAAGTCCCATTCACACCTTTGTAAATAGTCCTTGAATAATGCTAATTTGAGTGCTGTGTTCTGCTGGAATGCTGAGAGATATAGTGACAGTTGAACAGGCTAGAAGGCAGCAAAGTGGTTTGCCATGAGACACCTAAGGGAAGAGTGTTCTGTGCAGAGGGAACCGTCAGTGCAAAGGCCTGGAGGGGGCGTGTACCTGACCTGTTTGCAGAAAAGCAAGAAAGCAGGAGCGGCTGGTGCAGAGTGAGGGAGGGGAAAAGGAGTGGGAAATAGCATCAAAGAGGTGCCTGTTGGGAGATGGGGGCTTGGCTTTTGCTCTGAGTGAAGTGGTGGGGAAGGTGCCTCTGGAGGGCTTTGAACCGAGGGAGGGGTGACCTTTAACACCATCTCTGGCTGCTGTGTTGAGAACAGACTATGGGGCAAGGGTGGAAGCAGGGAGGCTGGTGAGGGGGAGGCTCGGAGGGCAGTGGGGCAGGAATGCAAAGAGGCTGGGTTGTGATGCAGGGTGTGGGGGAGGAGGCAAGGGTGGCTTCAAGGCTTCCCTGCATCCACTCAGCCTGGCCATCAAATCCTGACCCTCTGGTGCTGTGTATGCACATGTCCAGCCGCTGGGGCTGTGCACTGCGGGTCCGTCTTCTCCGGCAGGCCTAGAGGTCTGCCAGCCTCTGCCAGGAGAGGTCCTTGAGCAAGTCAAAGCCCCTTGTCCTTGGTGCCATCTGGTCACGGGTTGGGGTGTGGGAGTGGATTCGGCCGCTGGGGTGCTGGGAAGGGAGGTCATGCCTGATGGCCAGAGGCAGCCCCAGGAACTGACTGTTCCTGTATGGTGACCTGTTTTCTGGGGCACTCCCAGACCCATGCCCTTCAGCCTGGGTCCTGTGGGTCAGCCTGACCTCAGTGTGACCGGCTTCCTCTTCCACTGCCTGCCTGGCTGTCAGGCTCCAGCCCTCTATGGGGGCAGCTGAGGCCACCAGTGAAGAGTCTGCTCAGGGGTGGCCCAACCCTCTTCCTCAGGTCCTTCAGCAGCCCCTGCCCCTCCTGTCGAATCCCTGTGTGGAGGGCCTCCTCCCACCGGATCCTGTGTGGGGCCCCTTGGCTGGACTCTCACTGCCCCTGCCTCTGCATTCGGGCCGTGAGCTCCTTCCAGACCAGCTGGGCCTGCACCGCCAGCAGCACTTTCCCCGAGCCGGCTCGGTGCTGAGCTCTCTGCTGGCCCATCCTGCCAGGCCTGCTGGCTCCGTCCAGTACAGAGGGCTGGTTGGAAGAGTGGGCTCTGGGGTACAAGCTCAGCCACTCGTCTGCATGTGACATTGTCCAGTCCACCTGGCTTCTCCAAGCCTCCACATCCTCATCTGACCTTGTGGTGTCCCTAGCGCCTTAGAGGCCCTATGTGTACTTGCTGAATAAGTTAATGTATACCATACGCTTCACCCAGCGCCTGAGTACGTGCTCATGAAGGCAGCTATTTATTTTTTCATTTTTTGAGACAAAGTCTCGCTTTGTCGCCCAGGCTAGAGTGAGTGCCGTGGCGTCAGCCTAGCTCACAGCAACCTCAGACTCCTGGGCTCAAGCAATCCTTCTGCCTCAGCCTCCCCAGTAGCTGGGACTACAGGCATGCGCCACCATGCCCAGCTAATTTTTTGTATATATAGTTTTAGTTGGTCAATTAATTTCTTTCCATTTTTGGTAGAGACGGTCTCTTGCTCAGGCTGGTTTCGAACTCCTTACCTCGAGCAATCCGCCCGCCTCAGCCTCCCAGAGTGCTAGGATTACAGGCGTGAGCCACCGTGCCCGGTCTGAAGGCAGCTATTTAAATCATCCCATCTGCAGATGAAGAAACCGAGACTCAGAGAGAAATGTAACCTGTCTGAGGCCTTAGGGCTGGGAGATGCTAGCGCCCCAACCCAGCAGCTCTCCTCTCCTTGCCTCTTCCCCACCCTCCCCTGCCTCGGGGAGGCCAGCACAGGTGTGGGAGCCCACCAGAAGGGGTGAGTTGAGAAGCTGGGAACTTACACTCTCTGAGAACCCCTGAGAGGAGAGGAGGCTCCTGTCACCACAGGAGGTGCAAAGATGAATTAAACACAGTCTCCACCCTCAAGGGGCTGCCAGGCAGGAGCAGCACCTGTCCCTACATAGAGGATCCAGGAAGCCCCAGGGAGAGGTGGCATCTGGGTTCCCCGTACATGATTGGCTCATTGAGTCAAAAAAAAAAAAAAGTCACAACAGAATCTGAATTTTTAAAGACAAGTCCAAGTTTCAAATATTCTGTCCGATTGTTGTAATAGACTATCAAGTGCCCCAAAGAATCCAATATTGTGGCACTTAAATGATCTTTCAAAGCCAGATGGGTCACAAAAATCTGTTACTCCATCATCTGACCTGGGGAAACAGAGTCCCTCTTATGCTGGGCACACAGATGCCCCCTGCCCCGAGTGTCATGGGTGTGTGCACGCCCATACAGTCACAGACGCTAGCCAAGACAAAGGGTCACCCACTCTTGGGCTGTTAGATGATTTGGTGGCTTGAGTTAGTGCCACCTCCCTTTTCCAGCAAGGGTCCTAACACCAGTGCTGGGCACTGTGAGGTCTGTTGGGGCCTTTTGAATCCTCAGAAAAAAACACACTCTTGCCTTGCAAGTTTCCCGTCAGCCTGATGGGCAAGGCCTGGTCTAGGAGACGCCAGAGCTGCGGCTGGGGTGTCTGGACAAGGCTGCTGTGCTCAGATGCAGTGGCTTTGCCCCCCAGCATCTTGCCGCAGACCCGTCTTGCACATGAACTGCTGCCAGGACTTTTGGTTTCGGTTTCTGAAAGCAGAAATGAGTCCTGCCCTTTCCCTCTGCAGCCCTCCACATTCCCACTCCTCCTCCCCTGCCTCCTTCCTTCCTTCCTTCTCCCACCCCGGTGGGAGATGGCCCCCCTGGTCCCTGGCTTTGCGGGAGGGAGGGAGGGGAAGAATGGAAGGGATAGAGAGGGGGGTGGGAAGGAAGTCGCCACTCCATTTTCAGGGCTGGGTGAGCACTCACAGTTGTGCAGACTGTACACTGCACAACTCTAGAGGATGCCAGTCCCCTGGACACCACCAAAATGTGCACAGTGACTAGTGCACTTTTCAGGCAGGTGGCAGTAAAGTGTCCTGAGAAGATAGTCTGAAGCTTTCCAAGTGGGATGAGAGGACGGAGTGCCTTTCGGCTCTGATCTCCCAGAAGCCCCAAGCTAGACCCTGTCCCACTAGCGACCTCACCCTCAGGCCTTGTTCTCTAAGCCACGTGTCCCTCTTTGCTCAACTTCTCAGCTGACCTAGAGCCCCAGTGAGGGACTTTGGCAATCATCTGTGAGACCATATGTGGACCCCAAGCAGGTCTTTTCCATTCTGGGCCTCAGTTTCCCCATGTGTAATATGTAGAGTGGACAAATAGTCTCTAAGGGGCCATCCAGATTTAACATCTGAGTTTGTGCTGAGGGTGCCTGGGGGGCAGATGATTAGAGTTAGGTTCAGGCCTCAGGGTCCCCTGTACTCTGAAGGAGGGAGGTTGTTGGTTGCAGTTTCCCTGACTGAGAGCAAGCAGGGTTCAGAGAGGATTCTTTTGCTGGAGAAAGACAGTGGGCACTCCATGAAGTGGTCCAGAGGGGCAGGTCCCCTAACCTCTCTAAACCTCAATTTGCTCCCCCATGAAATGGGGGTGATGTCACTCACCTTGCAGGTGGCTGTGAGGATGGAAGGAGTACTATATCCACATGTGCTGGCATGGAGGAGGCCTCAGAGAGGGATGGGCCTGTGGGGACAGTGGCCACTGCCTGAGCCCAGACTCCAGGGCAGGAAACCTACCTGGTTTCCTCTGGGCCTGACAGGACACCCCTCCCACCTCTCCTGCCCTGTCCTTCCTCCCTGCAAAACACTCCACCCTGTGGGCTCCCTCTTAGCATAACCACACCTCTGGGAGGATGCCAGGGCCTGCACAGCTCCATGGGACCCCAAAGAGCCCAAACCCCTCGGCCTGGCACACAAGGCCTCCCCATCTGCCCCCCACAACCCCAGCCCTATCCTCAGCCCTCCCCAGCCACCTTGAACTACATGACGCCCCCAAACAAGCCATGCTCCGTCTCACCTCCAGGCCTTTGCCTGGGCTGTATCCCTCAGTGCCACAAGTCATATGCCTTCCCTTCTCCCCCGCCTTAAGAGAGTTAAATCCTGCTCATTGTTTAGGACCCAGCTCAGATGTCACCTTCTCTGGGAAGCCTTTCCCTGGCATTCCAGTAAAGAAAATAATCACTCTTCCTGTTGGCTCCCTAGGCCCGGGATTCACAGTCCAGTCAGGAGTCTCAAGAAGCTCAATGCCTTATCTAGAAAACAGAGGTGAATCTTCTCGACCTTGGGGGTGCAGGGAGGTTGGAAGAATCCAGTAAAACGGGACATGTAAGGCCTCTAAACACAGCGTGGGGCACACAGTAAGTGCCCAATAGTTGCAGCCACCCAACCCTGTTCTTTCTGGAGGGCCAGGGCACAGCTCATTGGGCGCTCCCAGTGATTGACAGGCCGTGAGCCCAATGACCGACCCAGGCCAACTGGGGCCTCCACCTGAGGGAGTCAGAGTCCTGGAGTCTTTTTGGGAGACGGGCCTGATTTCCACACGCAGCCTTGTGTCAGCCTGTGGGGCCCGACCAGCCCGCTGATGACTCAAGTCTCCTCCCCACCCTTCCCCTGCAGGAAGAGGCCCTGTCATAATCGCAGTTGTACCACATAAAAATAGCTCCAGTTCACAGATACGTGAGCACAGCCCCTACCACGGAGGGAAGAAGAAGGCCATTTCCCCGTGTGCGTTCCCCTTGGCCCCTCTTCAAAAGCCCATTCGCTGGGGTGGGGTCCGAACACTGCTCAGCAATAGCTTCCTCAGCTGCTTCCTCCCCAGCTTCGGTGCTGAAGATTTTTTACCGCTTTGCAACCAGCTTCTCACATTTTCTCATTTGGCCCTCACACCACAGATGCGAGGCAATCGAGGTTATCGTATCCATTTTGCAGGTGCAGAAACCCAGGCCAGGAGAGGGGAGGTGACTTGCCTGAGGTCACACAGTGAGCCCGTGGTTGAGCTAAGTAGGGGCCTTGTGTGTTCTTTCTGCACCAGCACCTGCCTCCTGCTTGGAAATTGCCATGGCCACAGCCAGGGCACCAAGAAAAAGGGGAGGAGAGAAAGGCTGGAGGGAGCACAGATGTGAGGGGTAGGACATTCAGGCAACAAACATTTGTTGAGCTCCTACCATGTGTCAGGCACCGTACTGGGCACTAGGAAGAGAGTGGAGACCAAAAAACAGGCCCCCTTCCTGCCCTCATGGAGCTTACGGTTTAACAGAATGAGAGTGAACGTTCATTGAGCATTTTTTTTATAGTAGGTGCTTTGCTAGCACCTTTACATGGGTTATATCGTTTAATCCTCGCCAATATCCCCATAAGGTAGCATAGTGGACATTTGTCATTTGTGTTAGCCACTCAAAATCTGAAAGCCCTTCCTTGTGTGTTCTCCACTCAAGAGGAGGAGCCCAGCTTCTACTTCCAAGACTAAATATGCCAGCTACTCCCTCTTCCAGCCTTTCTTGCTGCCAAGGCTGGGTATGTGACCAGGCTTGGCCAGTCAGGACAACCACCGCAGATCTGTGTTGAAGCAGTGACCATTCAGATCCATCCTGGCAGTCGGTACAGGCAGTAACAACGGCAGCCACAGGTGGCTTCCAGAGGCAGCAGGGTCCCTCATTCACTGCTGGTAGAGCCAGTGTCTCTGGTCACTGATGGTAGCCAGTGTTGTCCCTCTAGCTTTGCAGTGAGATGCTGAGCATTGCTTTTTAGCTAGTGGAGAGAGCAAAAAAGTCCTGCCGAGCCTGTAGGTCGAGGTGGCGGAGGTGGGAAGAACCTGGAAATGGCAGGGACTCTGGGATGGGGGTGAGACTTCCTCTGGGGCCTGCCAGCCTGAGCCTTGTGTCCTGGGCTGGGGAGGAGGTGGGCACTGGTAGCCTCAGAAGCCCCTGCCTAGTGGCTGCATAATCATCAGTGCCTGAAACCTGAATCCCTCGAGAGCCCCTGTCCACTCTCGGGCTGGCTCTTCTCCCACCCTCCGCTCCATCAGGCCTGCTTCTGGCCCCGTGGCCTCTGCCCAGACACCGGGACACCTGTGACAGCTCCTCCGTGGATCCACACACTGCCATCCTTCGTCCTGGAGTCAGAGTGAGCCTCTGGATGGCAGAACTGATGGAGCCACACGCCTCCTTAAGCACCTTCCAGGACATCCTGACACCCAAAGCCCTTCTAGCCCCTCCAACCTGCATGTCAATCGTTCAGCCCTGTCCCAGAGTCTGAGCAGTCACCCCTACTCCATCGCCACCTTGCCTGCCCTGCTCCTCGCCCCTGTTTGCTTTGCCTCTGCTCATACTGTCCCCTCTGCCAGAAATGCCCTTTCCTGTCCCCTCCACCCTTTTCTCTCTTGTAAAATCTCATTCATTCCTAAAGCTGCAGCAAATTCCAACACGTCCCTGAAGCTTCCCTCACCCCCTGCCCTAGGCTCCCAGTAATTTATTCTTTGCTTTATTTTGTCTGTGGGGGGCTCTGCGGCATTTCATGCGTGTGAGGTGCTGCTGCTCGGATCGGCTACTCTGGCGTGAAGAAAGGTGCCTGTGGGGTGAGGACCTGAGCTCTGGATCAAACAGACCTGGGTTCAAATCTAGGCTTTGCCATTTACAAAATGGGTTACTGTGGGCAAGTCGGTTGACCCCTCCAAGGCCTCGTTTCTTCAGCGGCAAAGTGGGAATGTGAGCCTCCTCGTCAGGGTGTGGGGAGGATGAAATGAGGTAACATGGGAGGGAGCCCAGCACAGTGCCTGGCACAGCACGGTGTACAAGTGCCATCTTCCTTCTGCATCACGCTGAGTGTCCATCACTGGGCCCCAGTGACAAATTCATGGTTTCCCTATCAACCTGCCCTGCTGGACCTGGAGCAGCCCCTCCAGGCCTAGGACTGATAGGCTTCGGCCACGGGGCCCAGGCTGGGGTGGGGGGAGCCTTTGCTGCCCATTGAACCCCTGGGGTGTAGCTACCCAGGAGACATATGGTCTTAGGTCCTCCCCTTTAAATCCACCCTCTGCTATCAAAATGTAAGGCAGGCCAGAGGGCACGAGGTGGGAGCCTCCCAGTGGGCATCTCCTGGCACCAAAGAGACGTGCACAGGTGTGTTCCCATCTGGGGGCCCGAATGCCTAGGAGTGCAGGCAGGTGCTCTGTGTGCACGTGCAGCTGTGATGAGCAGGTGGCTCTGTGTGCACATATGGCTGTGTACAAACTTGGGGGGGGGGTGTATCCTAGTCCATTTTCTTTTCTTTTTTTTTTTTGAGACAGAGTCTTGCTTTGTTGCCCAGGCTAGAATGAGTGCCGTGGCATCAGCCTAGCTCACAGCAACCTCAAATCCTGGGCTCAAGCAATCCTTCTGCCTCAGCCTCCCGAGTAGCTGGGACTACAGGCATGCGCCACTAATTAGCCAGGCATGCCCGGCTAATTTTTTCTCTATATATTAGTTGGCCAATTAATTTCTTTCTATTTATAGTAGAGACACGGGGTCTTGCTCTTGCTCAGGCTGGTTTCGAACTCCTGACCTTGAGCAATCCGCCCGCCTCGGCCTCCCAGAGTGCTAGGATTAGGCTTGAGCCACCGGGCCCAGCCAGTAATTCATTTTTTAAAAGGAATTTATTGCTTACAGTTATGAAGGCTGAGAAGTCTAAGGTTTAGGGGTCACATCTCACGAGGGCCTTCTTGCTGGCGGGGCCTCTCTGCAGAGTCCCGAGGCGGTTCAGGGTAGCACATGGCAAGGGGCCCGGGTGTGTAAGCTCAAGTCTCTCTTCCTCTTCTTATAGAGCCACCAGTCCCACTCTCAGGATAACGCATTAATCCGTTAACCCATTTAATCCATCAATCCACAAATGGATTAATCCATTCATGAGGGCAGAGCCTTCATGAGCCAATCACCTCTTAAAGGCCCCACCTTTCAATACTGCCACACTGGGGACTAAGTTTCTTTTTTTCTTTTCCCCCCCTGGGGACTAAGTTTCAATGTGAGTTTCGGAGGGGACAAACATTCAAACCATAACAGTGTGTGTGTGTGTGTGTGTGTGTGTGTGTGTGTGTGTGTGTGTCTGTGTGTATTTAGCTGCTGTGGTTGTCAACTCAGAGTGAAAAAACCCACACTTCCTGTTAGAATCAATTAGAGCATTTTTTATAGAAGCCCCAGATCTCCCTGCAAGGGTCAGCAGAGCTGGGGGAGGAGAGGTAGGAAGGCGGGGCAGGAAGGATGTCTCCCTGAGCAGGGCTGGGAGTGGAGGTAGAGACTCCAAGTTCTTGTTCCACTTTGGTGCCAAGTCAATGCATGACCTAAACAAGTCACCATACCTCTCTGCAAAAGCAGGAGGGGAAGCTAGACATGGTGGCATGGACATGTAGTCCCAGCTATTAGGGAGACTGAGGCAGAAGAATTGCTTGAGCCCAGGAGTTGCAACATAGCAAGACTCCTGAAAAATATTTCTAAAGAAAAAGCAGTAAGAACATGTGGTATTTGGTTAAATAAATAAATAAATAAATAAGCAGAAGGGTGCAGAATCGAGATCTGGCAAAGAAAAAAATAAAAAATAAAAATAAAGTAGCAGAGGAGATTAAACCAGATGATCTCTGACCCTTCTCCCTCTTGGAGCAGATGAGTATCCAGAGTACACTCTCTAGGGAGAGACACCAGGCACACCACCCACCCTACACTGGTCGAACCCTTCCCAGACCATCCTTGGAAAGACCGAGAGCCTTCCATGAGGCTGTCTGGGGGATAGCACAGAGAAGGAGTTTCAAGTGGGGAAGGGCTTAGTGGCGGCCAGTCTCCCACCCTCATCAGCAACTTCCTCTGCACCCTCATCCCAGGCTGCCCTGCCCCCTCCAGTCCCCACATCCTCAGCCAGAAGAGAAATACAAATTAGTTGCTCAATAGGAAAAGGCAGGAGCCCCTGTGCCTTCCACCTACTCCCGTCTGCAGTGGGGCAGAGGAAGTGGGGCAGAGGGCTGGGTTCACAGGCAAAGCTGGCCCCTCATTTTACAAATGAGCAAACCCACACCCAGAGAGGGGCACTGACTTGCTCAAGGGCACACAGCAAGACAGTGGCAGTGCCGGGGTTGAACTCGGCTTCCCACAAACCTCACCAGGCTGCCCCTCCAAGAAGGGTTGCCCCTCCAACCAATGCTCATGTCCACTGGGGACAGAACACAAGAACAGGAGCTGACACTGCAGCAAGGGGACTTAGGCTGTACACCAAGAGGCACTTTCCCCTGGGGTTGGTAGACCCCAGACAGGTAGCAAAGGAGCGCTCACCTCCTCCCCGCTTGCCTTCAGAGTAGGATGCCCTGGAGTGCAATAGCTCCTGCAATGAGGAAGAGAGCTGGAGAGACCAGGCTTCTAGGCTGTTATTCTGCCAGGTTGTGGTGGGGTTAGGGGACCCAGGAGGAGGGAAGCCAGGCCTGGGGCTCAGTACTCACTCCCATTCCCACCACAGCTGTGGGAGAGAGGATCCCATCTCTTTTTCCCAGAAGAGAAAACTGAAGCCCAGAGAGGTAAATGACTTTCCTGAGGTCACACAGCTAGCAAATAGTTGGATCTACATAGCATGACCCCAGAATCTTTGTCCTCTTCACTAGTTTCCCAGAACATGGGCCACAAGATGAATTTAAAAACATAGTCCACAAGGTGAGTTTAGATCATATGTAGGTAAATTGGTTTTATTATTATCATTATTTTAACAATATACTGATCCAAATGTAAATCAGGAAGAAATAAATCAGCTCATCAAACTCATGATTTCACAGATATCATACCTTGGGACTAGGCTAAGTGTTAAAAGGAGTTGACTTAAAGGAAAATATTAAATGGATAGCAGTTCAAGTAGCAAACATCTGGAAAGTGATGCCTGAATGGCTGAAGCTTTAGAAACAGTGTTTTCGGGCAGGCGCAGTGGCTCACGCCTGTAATCCTAGCACTCTGGGAGGCCGAGGCGGGAGGATTGCTCGAGGTCAGGAGTTCA